GTCAGAATGGACTCCACGGCAGTGGGTGTGGTTTGGGCTTTGCTTCTGTGAAGATTGACAGCCTTGGAGACCCTGTGGTGCAGTTCCACTCTGTCCTCTTGGGGCGCTGTGGGTCAGAATCGACTCCAGGACAGTGGGATTGTTTTGTTTTGTTTTTTTGTCTGAACCCACCAGGCAGTAGGGGCTACACAGACCCCCGCATCTGAGGGACTGCAGGAAGGGAGGGGGCATGATGCAGTCATGAATATTCATTGATTGGACTGATCTTCACTCTGTTTTAAGGCCTCTGTGAAACATATTCAGTGACGTCCCAATGATTAGGGGGCCCTGGACTTTGGGGGGGCTTCCTGGATCAGTGTGAGCTAGTGGGGTTGGGGATGGGGCAGGTTAGAGTGGGAAATAGACCTGGGCTTGGAGGTGGGTTGGGATTGAGTGGAGGTGGAGCTGGGAGTGAGGATGAGTAGGGGATGGGAGTGGAGAGTGAGGCTAGGCTTGGGGTTGGAGGGGGGTGGGCAGGAGACCGAGAAAAGAGGTGGGGGTCGACGTAGACAGGAGGAGCATACATCCTGGGGAGGATGGTGCATCCCGGTGCACACACCCCTGGGGACAGTGGAAGGGACTGGCTGGGACCCCTCCCAGGCCTTGTCGATGAGTCTCTTCGCCTGTGTCCTTCCTGTTTATAACAAATGACTAACTGTCACTCTTGCTAATTGTTTCCGTGACTCAGTCTGGCCAGCGATTGAACTTGGCGGGGGAGGGAGGGCAGTGAGAACCCACAGAGAGGCTGGCGGTTCCTATTTGGCAGGGCTGGAAGGGCGGAGTCCTAACCTGTAGAGACCAGACTCTGGGTGGTCAAGGTCAGAGATAGAAAGGGCCACGCGGGGGGCTGGTGTAGCACTGATGCAGGGGGACAGTGTGGATGTGAGTTATCTTCCCATTGTGGAAATTAGCCCGTGTTGGCCATTGTTCACACACTTATCTCAGATCACACGTCTGATCTATGAGCAAATACAACTCCCCAACTTACAACGTGTGCTAGTTACGGTGTGGCACAGTGGTTAAAGTGCTTGGCTGCAAACCAAAAGGTCGGGGTTGGAATCCACCAGTCGGTCCATGGGAGAAAGAAGAGGCAATCTGCTTGGGTTAAGACTGACAGCCTGGGAGACCCTGGGGGCAGTTCCACTCTGTCCTCTAGGGGCGCTGTGGGTCAGAATGGACTCCACGGCAGTGGGTGTGGTTTGGG